AAAGAAAGAAAGAAAGAAAGAAAGAAAGAAAGAAAGAAAGAAAGAAAAAGGAAGGAAAGAAAGAAAGAAAGAAAGACAGACAGACAGACAGACAGACAGACAGACAGACAGACAGACAGAAAGAAAGAAAGAAAGAAAGAAAGAAGAAAAAGAAAGGAAGGAAGGAAGAAAGGAAGAAATAGGAAGGAAGGAAGGAAGGAAGGAAAGAAGGAAAGAAGGAAGGAAAGAAGGAAGGAAGAAAGAAAGAAAGGAAGAAAGAAAAGCATGGGGCTCCTCCAGAAAGGTCACCCCTCCCGCATCTCTCTCTGGGGGTATTTCTTTGTAAGCAATCTAGCAGAGGAAAACCGCATCCGGTCTTCTGGTCCACTTGTCAAGTTCTGTCCAATACTGGACAGTGTTGTGCCAGGGAGAGAGGGGGAAAGAGGGAGGGAGGGAGGGTGAGAGAGAGAGAGGATTTCAAATGTCAAGGATTTTTTTTTTTTTTTTGCAGTAGAGCGAGATTTTCAACACGTCCAACGTCTGTCTGTCCGTCCGTCTCCCTCGGTCTGTCTCTCCTCCCCACCTCTCTCTCCCACACACACCGTACATAAAAACGCCCACCCCGAACGCAAGGAAAATTCTGGTGCAGAATAGTTGCGCCTTCTCCATTTAAAGCAGTGCGTCGCCCACGTTCTTGGACAGCGGGGACCCTCGAAGTAGCCTCCGTCCGCAGCCCTAGCCGTTTACCGGAGAGGCGCAGGTATACCGAGGAATGCGGGGTTTGGATTCTGTTGGCGGCGGCGGCGGCCACGTCACATCACCCCAGCTAAAAACCAACTTCAGTTTCTGGACTTCGGCTGGCGAGTTGGAATTGACTGCCACTCTCTATCTAGCCTCGCAGCCTTCTCAAGCCCTCACCGCTCCCGCCCTTCTCTCTTGGATGAAGCAAAGGGATTTCTACCATTGATGGGTATTCCTAGGAAAACCCGGGCCGCGCAAGCTTCTAAATCCGAGGGCGCGCTATTCCCTCGAGAATCGTGGGCTCTTTTTACATCACCTTACTGGAAAGAGAGGGACGCGTAGCTTCTAGGCAGCTTGAGGCATATTTCGGGGATATCCCAAAATGCCCCGTCCTTCAAACCCTCATCCTTACAATCCGAGGCGGAGATGTAAAGAAACTAGACTAGAGGGAAGGCGATTTAAGTCAGTCAAACGGCGACAGGATTAGCTCTTCCTTTTTTTTTTTTTTTTTTAACGGGAGAAGGTTAAACTACGGGTCAATCTGAAGCAGCTGTTGGCAATTCCAATATTTTCACTTCCTGATTTTAAAACCAGTTTCACTAACCTCGACCTTTGCAGGACAAATAGGGTTTTAATTGCAAGCAAGAGCAACAGTGATTAAGGGAATCCGGAGAATGAAACGTCGAATGTCCTGTTTCACCTCAAAGACCATCAAACAATCACCCGGCCAAGTTTATCCATGTTTAACTGAAACATGGCTTATGCAATTCACCCTATCTTCTGACTTTACAGGGCACTTCTAGCCAACTTGTTTCAAAAATGGCTGCATTTCCTTAACATTGTTAAGTCCGTTGGCTTTAATCGGGGCTACTGTAGTTGCTTGTGATGTATTGTGCCAATACAGAAATGTGTTAATACTGTAACCAGGTTAGTTGTGTTTTGCTAAGGCATCACTAGAAGCATAAATAAAGCACAAGAATTGAGTAGGTTAGTTTAACATTTGATTTGTGGCTTAATATGTCCTTTAAATGCACTGATTTCTTATGATGAACTGGTAGGAATGATAGTAACCTTAAGAAGGGGGGGGGGAAAGGGGTGACCAAAATGATGACATGCTAGATCTATTAATTGTATGTGTATGCAACTAAAATTAATTTCATCACTGACCTGGAAGTCCATCCAATCCTTTGGGGCATACATAGAGGAGAATATTTATAGCTCAGGGTTGAAATAAGGAGTCCTTGGTGCTCTCTGAGCATGCGGACGTTTCATTACCAAACTAGGTAACATCATCAGTACTTTAACCCTAACTCTAGCACAGAGAACACCAAGGACTCGTATATCCGAGTACACATAGATAGAATTGCACTCCTAGTGTTTAATGATCTTTCACACAATCCATAAGAGAGCTTGTCCTGTGGGTATGAGTGAGGTGATCTTATCCAAAGAATAAATCAATTCAGGGCTGAGACAGATTGTTAAACTGACTTAGGGACCAGCAAATCTTTAGTTCCTTTGGATACACCCCTTTCTCCCCTGTGTCGGAAACGGTGGTTGGTGCTTTGGACAACCAGAATTCTCTAGGGAGAAGAGAAAAACGGATAATTTAAAATGGCATGTTTGTTCAGTGGGGATTTGGGTGGGGCCAAAAAACAAGAGCCTCACAGAAATCTTGTGGTCTCCCCGCTGCCTTTAGGGTTGCTGGATTTTAGGCACTAATTTATGCCACAAACAGTTGGTGTTTACTCAACGTTGGTTTCTGACACTTTAGTGAAAATTGTCCTTCACTGGCAGGAGGGATTTAAAAATTGCATTCTAATCATTAATACACCGCAGTATCAGTTGCCCTAATAGAGAGGAGTAAAGGAAACGTTCTCCTTCGCTTCTGAAAGCAGCTGTTAGTCATGCCTGTGTCCACATTTTACTTGCCTTTTTTCCCCCTCACAAGAAGTAAATTTCAGGAACATTTGGAACCTGCTGCTTTTTTCCCCCTTTTGGAGTACTGCATAGGGTGTGGGAGGGGGGAATATTCGTCCAGGACCGAGTTAAACTTTGAAAGTCCCTGCAAACGGTCAGATGCAACCAGCTTGAGAAAGTTGCTGTGAATTCGGAAGTGCGGGGTTGCTCAGAGAAAAGAACGAACCATTACCCCTCTTTTTCTGTACTGTCCAGTCCTCTGCCAAAACCTCTCCAATTCTAGGGGTAGAAAAGGTTTTGGAAAAGTTCCACATTCCCCCCCCCCCCCCAAAAAAAAAAAAAACCTAGGCTGGAATGATTCGAGTCTATCTTGGCTTTGCAAGCAGCCTAAAGCGTGTTTAAAGCACTTAAGAACAGCTAGGATTGCAAGTTTAACAGGTGGACGGTCTAACTGATATTTACATAGCTGTCATTCCAACTGTATTCAGAGGGTTAGATTCAGATTTGAGACAAATCGTTTTCAGGCAGTTTTTGTTTGGTTAGCCTTCAGATCAATACGGGATACCGTTTCTTTCTTCTCCCTCCCCCCCCCCCCCCAAGTTGTTTTTCTGCCCATCCAGAGTAAATAAAGAGCGATTAAAACGCCCTTTGACGAGAGTAAAGGAGAATGTGCATGCATTCACCCAACAAAGACAACCTACTTGCTGAATTCTGGGTCCACATTACATCAACAATTAACTACATGGGCTGAGCGTTCTCCCACAACCTGAGCCATCCAGTTTCTATGGAGGTTCTCAGTCATCCAGACCATGGTTGTCCCAAAGGTGTTTTTTTTTTTCTTCCAAGAGGCAACTTGGACTTTCTGGTTTTCTTTCAGCTGAGCTGAAGAAGCTTCTTGGATGAGAAGCGAACCTTCTTCAAAAAAACAACAACACGTCCAGTTGCCTCTTGAAAAAAAATCACCTTTGGGACTGAGTCATCAAGGTTAAAACCAATTAAGTGATAAGAATACATCTACTAAGACTCACCTGATGAAACTGGTTGTATGGTGACCACGGCCAGTGAAAGGAATATCTTGCATAAATGTTCCAGGTGTGATTTAAAGGGAGGGGCTAAAAAGTTGTTGGATGAGGTCACTTAACCAGAACTGAAAGATCCTGAGAATTATACCTATAGAATTCCATTTTGAAATGTGATTTTGTCTGTTTATGCACATGTTTCTGGATGGTGAGTTGAGTTTTACATAGTTGAACTCTTTGAGCCAACAACAGGTTTTATCCATTAATGAAATAAAGATGTATTTGGGAACGATATATAAGCAGAAAGCATACTATTTCCAATTCCATTTACAACAAGAACTGAAGTTATACTGGAAAAAACGCCTACAAAAATACCAATCGGGTGCACCCACCATACTACACACCTATATATCCTCTGCACTTGCTTTCAACACAAACACACACACACATGTACTGTAAAGTGAATATTTAAGGGAGTACCTCTATATAGTTTAAGTAATTGTTGAATGATTAGTGGTGTCTGCCCACCTATCCTATTTCTGCCCTTGGTTCAAAAGTTCAAGGCAGTACCTATAGCGCTGGCTCCCCCTATTTTCCCCACAACTCTGCAACATAAGGTGGGCTGGAAAAGAGTGACTGGCCCAAGAGCAGCCAGAGAGCTTCCAGGACTGAAGGTGAGCTGTTCATGGGTTTTAGGGAAATGAAACACACCAAGTGACTTCTATTTCTGAAATTAAAAGGAGAAAAGAAGCTGGCGGTTTGATTAGATTTTAAAGCTTACCACTTGGGAAT